ATTGTGTTGTTAAAATAATTTGTAAATATTATTTAATATATATATATATATATATATATGTATTTCATTTGCCATTATTTGGTACTAATATATGGTATTTTTTTATCTTTTCTGTGCTATAGAGAAAATGTCCCTATTGCAAAGTTTAGTATCTGGACAGATTTAAAATGGGGGAATTTAACCAAACACGACTCTGGATGGATTGCACAACAGCTGTCTATTCCCAAACAGGAAGCAAGAAAAGCATTTGAAATAAAAAGCCCCAAGGTGGAAGAAGAAGCTGCAATTTTCAGCGCACATTTCAGATGCGTTCGCATCCGCCGCTCAGGAATTTCCCAAAGCGACCACCCACTCCGCCCACTTTGTCCGACCGCCCACTATGCCCACACACACCCCTCCCCCGAAAACCCGCTCTAATGCCTGAAGCCTGCCAAGTCATGTTTGCATGACGAAGTTTTCCTCAAACCATTTGGGCTAATATTTTAAGTTGGGGCGAAGCTGCCAGTGATTTGTAACCTTTGATGACTTGGCTGGTTAAGCGAACTGCGGGGGCAGGGTGGCAAACAGGGGTTAAGCTGGAGCTGCAGCCAGAAGGATCCGCAGTTGGTAGTCGGAAATTAGCGCTAATCTTTGTAATTCCAACAGTATTAAGGATGGCTCTCAAGTGGTTAGAAATAGGGGAAAAACTGGTATAATTGTTAAAAGAGCTGAGCTGCCAATTTCAGTCACTTAAAGCTTACGCAATCCCCGCTTGACTTAAATCAAGAGTTTTAGAGAAAAGATGAAGTTCACTTGGGTTTTAAATTCACTTGCAAAATAATTTTAGGTATTATTTTAAACATTGCTTATTAATTGATTTATTTGCATTTATTCTATTAATGAAATAGGAAAAAGGATAAGAAAATAAAAATATAATCAAAACAAGTAGGCTATAACAGATACAATTTTTTTTTTCGAAAATTTAATCTTTCATTTTTTCATTAACTGATCTCATGCTGTTAAACCAATGCATTCATGGTAAATGTATCCTTTTTAAATTGTTTTATATTCTTATTTATTTGCTATAATTGAATTAGAATATTTTTAAGGCAGTTAGTGATGAACAAGTTTTTAATTGATTTAAATTTTCTTGATTGCCTAAGGTAAAAAGTTGAGAAAACTTTTGTAACTTCTTTTATTTTTGTCATTTATTTCTTTAATAATGATAAAAAAAAAAGTATTTTGGTCATAACACTGCAAATGAAAATCAACAAAATTTCCGTCGTCGTCTAACTAAAACAACAGCAGCCAAAACATAATTCACAATTCAGTGTTTCAATCGCAATCGCCTTCTGTTCCGCTTCTTCAATGAAAAACTGGACACGGCATTTGCCTCCGTGCCATTCCATATTTTCCCATTTTCCTGCCTATTGGTGCCTTGCACATGGGACCGCACAGAAGGCTCCTAACTTGGAATATCCCATTTCCATCTCCTCTTGGTCACTTCTGCACCAACAATGCCTTCGGCTCAGGGGCGTTTAACTCTTTGGTTATCCGTTTTAGCACTAAAGCGTATATGTAGTGTACAAGGGTATGATGCAGTTTTTGACGATTAAGATATGTAATGTATTTTATTAAAGATTATCATCAAGTTCTCAAATATTTTAAATAGATAGGTAAATATTAAACATAGACATTTTACTTAGAAAAATAATATCAGAGGTAAACGTATCGTATTCATATATTTTAAATATATAGTAAAGATATTAAGCATAGACATATTACCTAGACCAATCCTATTAAAGATAATTGCAGAGTTCTTCGTTAAATATTGGATGTTCTGCCGTATAAGTAGGTTCTGGAATTCGCTTAATGTGATAAACGAAAAGGAATGTCTATTATTTATTGAATTATTAAAAAATCAGGCCATTAAATATTAAATAGTTAAAATTAATACTTTTAAGCTCAAAACCTAATGGATACCAAACTAGTCGAACAGCATAAGAACCTTGTGTTGGCATTCATTATTTGGGCTTGTGTACTTTTTTGGAATCGGGTCCTTGTCGAGGATAAGGGAAGTTAAAGTGGGCTGTGTGGGTGTTCTTTGGTGTCAGCTGGTTAAACACACAAATGGTGAACGGAGTCACAAAACAGAAGGAAAACATTGTGCAACCCAAAGAACCAAAACAGAAACAGAGAACCCCAAAAGCCACTCGCATATTTTGGCTCCAGTTAATTTGGGGAGCGGCTGAATCTTGGGACTGCAGAACGTGATGATGAAAAACTGGGGGTGGTTGTGGGTGTTGAAGTTTTGTCGGACTCTGGTCAATGTCGCACACAAAGTTGCCAAGTTGAACTCCGCCCCCATCCGGTCGACCTCTCTGGCCAAGAAAACACGAAAGTTGATCAAGAACTTTACCTCATCGAGGTGCTGCAACAATAAATTTTTCCCATCACCACTTTGGCACTCAGAAAAATAAAGAATAAATAAAATAGCAAAGAAAAGTGCTTAAAAACCTAATATATAATTATAAATGGGATATAATTAAAAATTGCATGTACAAAGGAGACTTTAAAATATATTTTTAATACCAATTTTAAAATAAATACACAAAATTAAAAATTGCATGTACAAAAGAGACCTTAAAATATATTTATAATACCAATTTTAAAATAAATACACAAAATCATTTTAAAAATATACAATAAACAATTTTAAACATATGTTTATAACATATAAAACCTTTTAAAAATGCATACTAGTTCAAAATTGCACACCTCATAAATGTTTTTGGTTGTTTAAAATAATATTATTCAAGTGGTTAAACCCGACTTAAATTTGGTAACTCTAACAATCAGTTTTCATACTGAAGGTTGTGATCTTAGACTGTTCATCATATAATTTATAAAGAATTAAAAGCTTAAAAATTATTAAAAATTATATATATTTTAATGTAAAAAAATATTTTCCAAGTGTTTGGGGCCACTATTTTTCCACGCCCTCTTCATAGACAATAACTAATTTTCGCCCGGCACACGTCAAAGTTGCTCCATCTCCGTTTTAAGTTTCCGTTCGAGCGGCTTGAAGTTTTTGCGACAACTTTGTGTCAGTTATGTGTATTGGCTGCAGTTTGAGAGCCACTTTGCAGAATCCTTTTAGACCTGCGAGGCTTCTTCTGCCACTTGTCGACTACCTGGGCAAAGCTTGAACTTTCGCAAATTGCATTCTTTGCAAGAAGTCAAGATGGCAATGGGCTGCACACGTAATTAGTTGCGGGGAAGTTGGGGGAAATTCAACTGAGGGCAGACTACAAGGTTTATAAAAGCAATCAAGGATTGAATCGAAAATTGAGGAAATATTACGAAGGGTTAATGCTTGGGCTGCTTTAAATTAAATAATTATATCTGTGAGTTTCTAAAATATTTTACGAAATAAAGGTAAAACATAAGAATTTAACTAAAATAAATGTTTACTGTTCAGTCTTTTCAAAAGTAAGAAATTATATCTGTAAGCTTTTACCATGTTTTTAAAAATCGTATCATACATTCTAGGCATTAAAAATTCACCACTTTAAATTAAAAAAAAAATTAAAACTTCAGAATTTAACCAAAAACAATAAGCTTTAATTTAATCTTATTTAAAATAAATAAATATATTTATGAGTTAATGGTATGTATTTTGAACATTTTCTCATTAAAACCAAACCATATTTATTTAAACCAATTTTCCTTTTCATTTTTTTGTTATATCTTCCAGGCCATTAACTATCTAACAAATAAAAGCAATAAAGCAATTTAACAATTACTCCTGATTTTTCGGAATGCCCGAGGTAACTGCTAATGACAAAGGTCAGAGGTCAGAGATACCGAAATCTCGGTTTAAGCTTTGACACTGCCTTTGGGGGCCACATTTTACAGATGGCCAGGTTGAAAGGTCCCTCTACCATGGCCTCCATCCATCAGGCAACTCAGAAAAGCCCACCCAATCCACTCCATCCATCGCCCTTCAATCATGTTTTGGACCTTGTTCGAACGCCTGCTGACAGCTACGCCCACAAATTTCATTCAATTTGCAAAAACACAAAACCGACACCGAACTGAAACTGAACTGGATACTGGAAACATTCTCGAAAAAAAGGAGTGTGGGCTGGGTCAAATTGATGAACATGACCGAAGTTGGCCGCTCTAAGCTACTTTTTGCACCGAAACAATGGGAAGAAAAGCTAACATTTTCATGTTTTTCGAAAGTCTTCAATCAAAATGCGTCGGCAAAGTTTTAATGCATGCGCCGCTGCCTGCCTGCGTCTAAAAATAAGAGCAAAAAAAATAAAAATAAAAAAAAAACTACTATATAGCGGAGAAAGTTTTTAAGTGACGAAATGAGTGGGCGTGGCAAGCTGGCTCCTGCCGCACAGTTTGATAAATGATGTGTCGAAAATAAATGATTATGCTTTCAAGGGACTCCCCACAAACAAAAAACTTTTCTTTTGTTTTACATTCTACTTCTCGCTCTTTTTTGTTATAATTTCCTCTTATTTTAAGCTGTTCTCTCCGCAAATGTTGATGTACTATAAGTTCATCTAGATATTTGCATGCCTCATTTGCCATATTGATTTTGTTTATTTTTTTTCTTTCTTTTACTTTTCAGATTTGTTCGTTCTACTTGAAACGGACAAGGTGGACGGGGATAATGTACATTTGTTTCCATCAAATTCGGCTCAAGATTTACATTTTTGTTTTGGTTATTTGGGGATGAAAAATTGGGATTAAATGGAGTGAAATATGTTGGCCAGGAAAATGCTGCCAGGGGCTATTTTAAGCCGAGAACTTAAAAATGTCTACCTACATAGTTGCATTAATCTTATTTTATATATATATTTTTAAAATATTTACAAATAGCTTAAATTTAAGCTTGTATAAAAGAAAAACATTTTAAAATATATATATATCTTTTTCGAACAATATTTATGATTTATAAAAAGTATTAGTTATAGTTAACCCAATGAAAACTGCATTTAAACTTGTGTAAACAATTTTTACTGGACCGAGGGTCAACGCTATTAATAAGAAATTTGTAACACAGGTTAGATCAACGCCTTTTTTCGTTTACTCTGCCGCCTGCTCCTTTGAGACTTGTCCATCGGTCGCTTGAATATTGGACTTGTCACCGGAACCTTCGGCGGCGGCCACCAGGGAAACCGACGATGTCGATGGACGTAGGACAACGCTATTGTCGCTGCTCTCACTGCTTGAATCGCCCACATTTAGATCGCTGTTTAGAGATTCGGCGGGCGGAGGAGGAGGAGGAGCCACGGTCACCGGTACTGGTGGCACCAAACTTGGAGTCCCTATGCAGATGCGTTTCGAGGGCGGCGGTGCCACATGACCCAGTCGGGCATTTGAGATGGTTGTGCCAGGCGAGACGGCCTCGAAAGCCATAAGTTCTCCGAAGTAGACGTGCTGGATTACGGGAAATTTGGAGAGAATCTGCGGATTGTACGGAAAGAGTTAATTGGGTCTAGTATAATATATAAAATAAAATCCCCTGCTCAGCAAAGCTACCGAAGAGCCTAATGACTTAAAGTATTAATAGGCGTACAAACTATTATCCTCGTATAATCAAACCTACCAAATACCCTAGTGTTTTTTAATATTAATAGGCTTTACCAAAAATTAATACATAGTGTCATTTTAATATAATGGTACCTAATAAAGTTTTAATTTTTCGCTTGTTTTACCTTATATCCAACTTCGTTTTCGGGTAATGCTTTTCAGTGGACTTAAACTTGAAACACTATACGTATACGGACATTAAACGGACTTTGTTTCAACATTATAACGATCTTTAAATGGTTGTTCGTTTTATATATCACTTGACTTCATCCTTTTGGGCTCCTTAAACTCCTCACCTCCTTTTGGTACATTTTAACAAGTCCCGCGTTGATTTTAATCCACGATGGCACATCCGTGATGCTCCACAGCTGGTTTGAGTGCTCGCCAAAGTGTCCAGTCTTGACCTTGCAGATGTAGTCGATGCAGCTAATAAACATAAACTGGTCCTTGAAGTCGCTGATGATCTGCTCGTCCACAAACTTCGACGGATCAAAGGGGCTTTTCACTGAAAGATGATACATTACATGTTAAAGGGCTGATCACCGGGGGAAATATATGTTTTATAGTTCACCAGCTAGCTGCGCACTGCCCCAGATGAAGGGAACGAACTGAAAGTCGTCCAGGGACCAAACTCCTTGACTGCCAGCGGGTTCCATATTGTAGGTACGCTGCAGTTGCCTGACAAACTCCAGATATCGATTGAACAGCCTTAGGGCGGCTGCCACAATGTCCTCTTCCTGCAGGATCTCAGCTTTGAAGAGTGAGCAGAGAAAGAACAGAAAGGACAGCTCGTGACCGGTGCCATAGTCAATCCTGGTGGCATTGCCAAAGGATTCCATGAGATATTGCTCCAGTTCGCCTTGGTATCTCTTTTTGGCGGCGGGCAGCAGCTGGTCCATCAATTCCGGCAACTGTTCCCGCATTTCCTGGGCCCAATCCCTATAGGCCTTGTTCCCGAAACGCTGAGGTTGCTCCAATGGAGGATGTTGCTCCACCAGTTTCTCCAGGGAATCAAACAGGCGCACTAGTTTTCTCAGCATTTCCGACTCGTGCATCTCGTCCGTCGTTTTGATGCCCTGTATCGCCGAACTGGTGCCATTTATAAAGCCTATTAAATCGTGGTAGGCACGGGATCTTTGCCAAATTCCCAAGTCGCCAAGATTTTGCACCCGCTTCGTAATTGCCGGCAGTTTACCTAGAATAAACTTTGATTAATCCTCTTTTGCTATTATCTAAATTCATCTAGGGCACCTGCTGCATGCGTATTTGCATCCGCCATGCTTGTAAAATCTCTATTTCACTTCAATTTAAAGTTATTTTGTTTAGGAGTTACGTTTTGTTTGTTATTTTGGCTGCATCTTTTTTTTATTGAATTGCAACAGTTAACAGTTGGTGATGGTAACAGAGGTCTGTTAAACGCAGAGTTTCCGATAGTGACATCACTAAGTATGACCGTTTAACAGTGGCGCCAAAAATATTTATTAAGATTTAAGAATTATTACCTTATAATAATCTGGGCTCATAAGCCTCGCCAAAAACAATACTAAGGTGTTTATAAATATATTAACCACAACGCTAAATATATATGTAGCTGACTTACCTAACTAGGTTTAAATTGTATATAATGGTATTTTGAGTGTAAGGGCAGTTGCAAGACATAAAGAAAGCAATAGAACGAAAGCCTCTAAACTGTTTAAAACCATAAATAATAATAATACATTAAAGATTTTACATAATTTTTAAAAATAATATGTGCTTAATCTGGTCGCTGCGGCAGAAAAGCCGACAGTGTGAACTGGTTTTTACAGAACCAATACGATTCATCGTTAATTGTACACAATCTCATCCCTAATCGATAGATGACAACAAACACCGCCTACGCCGGCAAATTATAGTGCCACCGCAACGAAAATTGGAAATAAATACAATCTCTTGGGATTTAAAGCTATAAAAACATATATACAACATGATCGAGACACTATACAACCTGCCCTTCCACATCCTGGTGCCGCCAAACATAAAAGTTCGAAAATTCAGCATTCCTATGCCATCGCCCATGGCTGTTTTCAGTGTGATACTGTTTTCCTATTTTCTGGTTACTGGTGGTAAGTTATTTAATAAATTATTACCTCTTTTTTAATTACAGACAACACTTTTAATGATGAGTAGGCAAAATATCTGTCGACGGGTCTAATTTGCAAATAATTAAATGCCTTGAAAAAATCTAAGCAACAGCTGTGTACAAAAAAATAGTTGTAGTTGCATGTTCATAAAAAATATATCCTATATGTTGACTTTTAAATGATTTGAATATAAAAATATGAAAGGCAATTTAGTATAGAGCTATATACGCTTATTATACCAAGTTCATTTAATTAAAGAATCTGTTTTTCCTCAGGAATTATCTACGACGTGATTGTGGAGCCACCCAGTGTGGGAGCCACTGTGGACGAACATGGACACTCGCGTCCGGTGGCCTTTATGCCATACCGCGTGAATGGACAATACATCATGGAGGGTCTGGCCAGCAGCTTCCTGTTCACCGTTGGAGGACTAGGCTTTATTATAATGGACCAAACCCACTCCCCGGGAAAGACGAATCTCAATCGGTTACTCCTGACCGCCATGGGATTCATTTTCATTCTGGTCTCGTTCTTCACCACCTGGCTATTCATGCGCATGAAGCTGCCCAGCTATCTGCAGCCCTAGAATCTCTACTAAAAACGGACATTTCAACGCTCTCTGAGTATTCTCTTGTCTCTGAACAGTCGAAAATCTTCAAATCGAACTGCTTTCTTAAGAATTTCAAAGTTTCAAAGGCTTTAAGCTACAGAAGAAAACGATCAAAATCATTCCTGAAACTGATTGTGGTATTAAATATTTTTATTTGTATACGAATAAGTTATTTTAAACATATTATAATAACTTTCGTACTTGTATAGAATATCATCCAATTAAGTATCAGTTTTGGTTACCCCTATAATATCTTTGTTCTTCAATAGATCAAAATAATCAGAAATATATTACCATCATATGTACCAAATCAAATAATTTAAAAGAATGTTTATATTTAATGTCATGACAGAAAATGTGATAGCTTAAGCTGTAAAGTTTCAGTTTGTGAGGTTTGACTGTATATTTGGTAGATCCCAAAACATGTCGCCAATCTAAAGCACATAAAATCGGAGGAAAACAAACTTTTCGGCGTCCCATGGCTCTCAGTTCACATCGCGCTGTTGACTAGTTTGGCTCGCTGGTTTGTCCGCAGCGTGCAAAAACGTTTTCCGTCGCCTATATAATTTTAGAATCTATTTTTGTTTATAAATATAAAGTACTTATGTATATATGTGTGCACTTAAAGCTGATACCTCGAAATAGTTACCAGTTACCAAGAGCTAAGAAAACTGTTAGCTAAAGTAACTAAATATTGTTCAGTACTCCAAGTGATGTAACCACGAGGAATACGAATCCTCTCCTGCTCTCTTCTCCCAGCGTCTTCTGCGTCGCATTTTGTTTACTTCTTGGTCTAAAAACCAAAACAGAGGCATGTCGAAAAAGTGCACTGTGCGATCGCTGAGCGACAGTGCCTTGGCGGAATTGGCCAATCTGCTGGTGTCCACCATCAGCTATGTGCAATATGCCCCGGACGTTCATCTGGACATCAACATCGTGATGGTGGAGCTGAACGAGTATCTGGCCCAGCTGGGAGCCACCTCGAATATCTATCAGGATCTACTCAGGGTGATCCTCAGCTCGGATTATCTGGACGCCAATATGCGGTTCACCTGCCTGCAGATGCTGCTCAACTGCGGAGTCACTTTTCTGATGACCGAAGTCTTTCCCTTCAGCTACTACGAGAAGATTCTACAGGTATTTGGGAATTGTCTTCGATAAGGGAAAATAATAAACAATACTACCAGTAATTTTGAGAAAAACAAACCAACAGAGTTCTAAAAGTGAAAGAGGAAAACTAATGAATAGAATATATTATTAATTAAATTAGTTATTCTTTAATTATGATTGGGCTACAAGTATGTCCTATAGTTGGAGCACTAGTCACAAAAATATACAAAAAAAGATTTTTAAATATTTAAATAATTAATCATTTTCTATTTTAATTTATTTAACATTATTTTATTTGTTAATATGTGTCATTAAATTAAAATTCGGTTACATTTTCATAACAAGGTTTGGTTGATAACTAATTTATTGTTGTTCTTAAACTTTTACCATAAATGATTTTGAATTTACTTTTAAACAAATATAAACAAATAAATTTGATCAAAATAATTAAATGTATCATATATTATTCAAATAAGTTTTAAATTACTAGATTCTATTTATGATTAGTTTTGTTTCATTTTTAATTAAATGAACAATTAAGTTTAAAAGAGTTTGAGATAAAAACAAAACAACTAGCCTAATTTTATAATTAAAGTTTTTTATTAAGAAAGGTACATCTTTAAGATTTAAGATTTAATAAGTTTATATTGATATATTTCCATATTCCAGGTGATTGCAGCTCAAGGAGCTGGATTGCGGGTGCTGAATATAAAAGGCATCTGGGTGAAAGAGGAGCACATGCACTATATGTACGACATTGTGAGGCGATGCAAGCAGTTGGTCAAGCTATATGTGCCCTATATTGCCAACGATCAGCTGCTGGAGGAGATCGGGAAGTGCTGCACACGCCTGCAGATTTTGGACATATCCGGCGAGACTGACATTACGGAAATCGGCATCGATTTTCTGGCCAAAGGCGTTTGCTCACAATCGCTGACTGTTGTGGATGTGGGAATGCCGGGTGAGGAGAACATCTGCTACTCGGATATTGCCCTGATCCTGGAGCACTGTCCCCAGGTGGAGACCCTTGCCACATACTCATTTGTAGGGGCTTCTCTGAAGTTTATTCACGACAATATCGATGATCGGTTTAAGTGTCGTTTGAAATATATCCATGACACGGGCACCGATGAAACCACTTTGCAGGTCATCATGCAGACTTGCCCGCGGTTGGAAACCCTCTATTTGGACTCACCCAAAACTGGAAGTTTGAGAGCTCTTCACACGCGGAATCTGAGAAAATTGAAAATCTACAAATTCGTGGTGGCTGAGTTACTTCCCCTGCTGGAACGACCAATTGGCAGAAACCTGCGTCATCTCACAATGATCAAGGGCTTGGGAAATCTCGACTTAGGAAAGTTGGCTCGTCTCTGTCCGTCTCTGATCGATCTCGACTGCTATATGATCGATAGTCTAACCTACGGGCCAGGTCAAGCCAAGTTCCAGCAGCTAGAGGGTCTGGAGATCCTAAGTAGCGCCATCATGACCAGTTCTTTAAAGGTCTTTCTCTGCAATTCCACGGATCTCAAGAGGTTGGCTGTGGACACAGTGGAGTTTACTGATGAGGATATAATAAGGTAGGTTATACAAATAAAAGAATAACACACCAATATAAAATATTTCATTTGACTTTTTCGGGATTTTAATATAAGAAGTGTTTAAAATAAATGTAATACATAGATTGACTAATAAAAAAAAGTAATCCAAGTATTTCATACTCAAGTTTTAGATTTTTGGTTTGGTATCATATTTAAGGAAGTTTTAATTTGTTTCTAAATAGCAGAGATGATTTTTAACATCTTTTTATATTAAGCCATGTATATGCACTTAATATTATGATTTTATATTCAAGTTAAAAATGCTTTCAAATATTGAAAATATTTATTAATGGCAAATTTTTTTTACTCTATGATTTTTAAATCACTCTAAATATTGCAATAGTATATAAATGTCCTGTTCTTTATATTTAAAGAAATAATAATAATAATAAAAAACCTTGTGTTTAAATATTTTGCAGCATGTTTATGCAGCACGACTTTAAAGTCCTGGAGGATGTTTGGTTTACTTTGGCGCCAGAGCTTACAGTACAGTCTGTGGAGGTAAGTCTTTTGCTTATATACCCATTTTTATTTATATATTAAGCTGACACTTCTTTTTTTAGTTATTAATGGACAGCTGCCCGGAACTGCAGTCCGTGGGTCAATTAACAGGCTGGTCTCTAACGCCCGATGATTTGGCGCTGATTCGGGGACTTTTGAAAAGCGGCAATTCGAGCATTGTACTGACACCAAACGGTTTTCTAGCTTGAGTATTATTAAGACTTGCTTTAATTACTTTAAGCTTAACTATAATTTAACCATTTATCTTTCTTTAAGCTCATCTGAATAAGTGCTCTTTTTCGATATGTACCATTAATATTTTCTTTTATCTTTTTAGCGCCTTCAGTAGCACTTATGCTGCAGACTTTTTCCGGCCAGGAGGAGCAAACATTGTTGTGAACAAATCAAGTGTTGTGTATTCTAATTGCTTGTGATATTAAGAAAATAAAATTGTTTAAATTTAAATTTGAAAATCAACGACGAAAAATGTGACCAATGCTGAATTTCTGTGCAATAAGTTAGCAGCCTTCAGCAGCAATTTTCTGGCTGTCGATACTTATCGTCTATTGATTTTAATTTTTGGCGGTCTCTTTGTTTTTAAAATAAAACATTTAAAATAAAAAATGGCTTAACAGCAATAAACTGACTTTTAACGCAGTAATATACTAAATATTTTTATTTGATTTAAAACAAGCTTGCAAAGATAGATGCCTCTATTATGTTACTACAGTTTTTAGAAGATCAATCTTGATTTTATACACTCAAACTAAAGTATCTGCAAATAATGTGTGGAGAAAAACCTACCATAATTTTTTTCTTGACTATCCTTAATTCTGATTCCAATTTATTTATGTATGAGGTGGCAGTCTGGTCAGTTTTAAGTAAATAGCATTTAAATAAATAAAATTTAGAATTTCATAAATGCATAATAATGTGGGTATAACTGCCAAAATCAATGAATCCTATCATCGTATTTTTTATATTAATTCCAATAATTAAATATTTTGGCAGTCTGATCAGTTTTTGTGTTTTTGGTTTAAATAACAAGTGGTGCTACTAATGAAATGCATATTAACGTGGTGTCTCCCTTAAGATGCAAGCAACTCTCTTACGGTTCTCTTCCTACTTTCTTTAACACTTTGTCGGCTCTCTTGCGCCACCCACGCCGAGGTCCGTGTGGAAAGCTCGATGGACTTGCGGCTGTGCTCGCGAACTTGTTTGCATTCCGCTTGTTCAGGTTCAGTTCTAATCCAACGGGCGACGGAACAACATTATATACCGTGTACTGTGCTCGCTCGAGGCGCGACTGTAAATATTTAAAAATTAAAAAACATATTCATAAATATGCCCAGGCCAAAAACACTGCGAGAAATTCCAGCAGCGAAGTGATTTCGAATGAGTGGTTTCAAAGTGACCAGTGCGAGAGCCAAAATCGTTTTTTGTGGCAAAACGAAAATATTGTAGATCATAACCAAAGCATTTGGAATATAAAAGTTTGAAAAAGGTTTAAAAAAAAAAGTTTAAAATAAAGTGCGAAGGTGAAAATTTAGCTCACTCTCTTTGTGCCAATCGAGCGCTCTCTCTTTTTCTCTGGCGAAAACTAACGGTTTTAGAAGAAGTACCGAGAAAGCTCGCTCGTTTCGCACATGCGTTTGCGTGTGTAAGTGTGGGTGCCTGCTTGAGTGTGTGTGTGTGTTAGCATCCTGTAGCAAGTTCTTCACTCAAGGATAACAGTCGTAAAAGCACAACAATGTAATGAACAATATCAGAAAATATCATCATTATCATCATTCTCATGCCGAGTGAAAATATAACAATTTTTATATGTGTGCGAGTTAGTCTCGCAGGTTCTCTCTCGGCTCACAAACTTTAATGTCCTTCTTTGTCACTTAGTTTAATGCGACAGTCGCCGTCGAATGCGACAATACGTGGGCATTTGCACACGATTTACGATTCTCGTAGCCTCCAAAACGGACAATCCTGCGGGTTAAGTCCTCAAGGAAGCAGTTTTCTCCCTCCCAAACACACACTCACCCACACACACATAGACAGCCAAGGGCATGTAACAGGTAACACAACACAATTGACACCTGTCTCGCTCACTATTTCCGTCGCTCTCTTTCGCTCGGAGAGCCTCCTTTGCGGAAGGTCCTGTAATACTCGTTCCGTCAATAACAACAGTTGCCACAAAGAGCCGTTTCAATGTCATGTAATGATGTTAAGTTCGCATTAAGTGAAATAAATGGCAAGGAGAATCCTGATCAAACAAAAAGCCAAGGGGAGAAAATGTTTAAAATTGTTACATTTAAGTAACTAAGCTACCTACTTAAAAATGACACTAAAAAATGTTCAAAGATTTCTGGCATAATATTATAAAAAAAATGCTTATCAGCTAAATAAAAATTCAAGATAGAATATGAAGGAATTTGTTTTTTTTTTAATGTTTTACAAAGAGCTATTCTTAAAAAAGTTAATGAAAATATATATGATATTTTCATATACATATGAAAATCGCAATCCAAGTATTACAAGTTTTTATCTTTTTTTATTTAAAAATATAATTCGAAATTGATATCAACTTAAATAGAAATAAAATAATTGTTAAAACTTTGTATATATGTATATATATATTTAAATCTCTTTTTCAATGTCCAAGTTAAATGGCGAAGGAGAGGGCAGCGGGGTGGTACAAAGTCGCCAACTTTTTCATTACTGTTGCACATTGAGCTGAAGTTTGTCGTATGCTAGATGACCTTTATGCAAAACAGGTCCTGTCGGATTCTCCCCCCGCTCTGCAGGATCGCGATTCCTGACCCCTACCATTGCTGTGCATTATTAAGCGCCAGCATTTGTATTATTCAGCGCACACATGATGTCTGTGCCTGGGTTGTGTGTAATAAAATGCATGCATTATTCATGCAAAGGCTTCACTGTGGTCAGCCAGCTTTTCCTGCCGTGCTTATTGAAATGCCATTAGCGAAATTCGTGCACCGACGTGGCGTATACGCAATCTGGCATTGAGATAATATTTATTCGCGCGAGCAGAGATTTGCATTAATATGGATCGAACAATGCTGGCCATAATCATTACGAACGCAGATAATGCCAGGTAGTATTCAGCCTAATTAAGCCTAAAAAGAGAGAGCGATGGCAGCGAGGTGAAACAAAGGCCCCAAGATTGCCTTGTGGTGATGCGTGAATTTTCGTAACAACAGCTATAGAAAATACAAAACAAAAAAAAAGACTCTATACATTGGCAACATTTTGTGGTCGTTTTTCAGCGAGTTGATGCCGTTTTTGTTTGTGTTTGTGTTTGCCTTGCTGGAGCACGCGTGTGTGTCTGCCTTTTACCTTGGACAAGAATAAACCATCCAAACATCCTGCAGCATCCAAGCATCCAAGCACCCAGGCATCCATCTACTTGGCCATTGTGGTTGTTCGTGGCTTTTTCCTCGCCGCGGCCTCACGTTCATCCTCATCTTTTGTGAATCCTTGGCGCAGCAAAATCTAGTTGGCCTACTCTGAAGGTGAGTGCAAACATTCGCATTTTCTTCCCCCCGCCCAACCATTCGCTCAATCGATTATTTCCTAACTGAGCGCCAACTTAAATAAGCCATCAAATCGCATAAAAAGCTAGATATTCTGAAATTCATACTCATTTGGGGGCCAGAAAAAATAAAAACGCATAATTAAAATGTGAAATAGAAACGCCCACACATCAACAAATGTATTTTTTATTCTCCAGAGATAAATAGTTTTTATTTGCTTGTGAAGCGTATAAACCGCCCAAATCAATTTGTCAGATAGCGCATCGATTTTTTTGTATAATAATGTTTACAATGAGGCGAGAAACAATAATAATCAAAACTATTTTATTTACAATGTAACGAGTACGTGGCTAGGATGTTGTTGCATGACGATAAGGACGCACGCGCGATGGTCCAGCTGCTCCTTGTCGGCTATTTGGGGTGGTGATCTTGTCCTTCGTCACGAGCCAGTAAATTCTAAAATTTTATCGAATTTTCGCGTGCAGCGACAAGTGGTATGGGGTAGGAGAAATCATGTGAATCCGCGCCAGCACGAAGAGGGATAGTTATTTTACTCATGGAATTCCTAAAGTTCCTCGGGTGTTCTAATGGAACCAAATTTGCCCTCCCTGCCTTGGCCGTTCTTTACCGAAAACTTCCCATCATATTATCGAACGGCCCCTTCTACTGATTCGGGTTCTAGCGGGGACTCATCCTAGTCGAAGGCAAACAAAAATGCGATTTAGCTAATCATTATAAAATGTATTTAAAACCTAAATAAAATTCTTAAAATTAGAGAACATATTGAAAAGATATTAAATGAGAACATAAATACATGCAATACAATTGAATTATTAAATTAATCTTCGCAGTAAGATATAATACGAATTAAAACCAAAAAAATATTATTCGAGAGCGAGAATACGGAAATGGCAGAAAATTGCAGTGAAGAGCGCATGGCGAATTCAAATTGAGTGGTTTGTTTTACTTATTTCGAAATTCATCTCACTCAAAAATTTGAGAGACAAGAGAGACGGTAAATCCGCTCCTTTTTATTTTTTTCTTCTCCTTTATGGATTATTCGAACTGCTAAGTTTTGTACGGTGGGACGCAAAGTAATTCATTTGATATATATATTTTACAAAGACATATTAATAAAACGTGATATCTGACTCACCAACATTCCGGAGATCCACCGACGAAAGCGCTTCCGTAAGTGCACCTTAGGCTGAAAATTTAAATTTCTTTATATACACACTGCAAGCCCACTGTGCAAAACAACAGCAAAATTTTTCTCTTCTTTTTCTTGTTGCAGCTCTTTCCTTCTTTTTTTTTAACACATTGGCTTGTTTGTCCACCCAAAAAAATTAAAATAAATTATGCCTAAAGCAATTCGTGCTTCTAGTTATTCATTATTAAAGCCTTTCTGGCCTTCTAACCATCACTGCACTTTTCTCTTCTTTCCCTTCTTTTTTTCTTACTTTTCCCCTCTCACTGCTTATTTCACATAACCTAGACCGCAAAAAAAAAAAAGAAAAAAAAACTTATGAAATAGCTTATAAACTATCCACTTTCAGCGAACTCCGACCGATCTTTGGCTTTCCGAACTGCCTTACATTCCGTGCGGCGACTTGACAATTATTCCGCATTGTTGTTCGACGAGTTAAATTAAATTTTCGTCCGAGCGTGGACCGAAACGTCTAAACTAGATCAGCGCGCCGAAAAACTGCCTGTCAAACTGAGCTTCGCTAAGTTTCGCTCGCAGGCGGGAGATAACGAAGATGATGAAGAGGGAATATAAATATTATGTGTAATTTGGGCAGGTGTTACATCTCGAGTTCTTTTTGACTCTTTTGCCCTCTCTTAGTCCTAACTCCGCTCCCAGCGACTTAAGCTGATTAAATAATTATCTTAGGGAACTCTTAGGCCTTTGAGACCCATTTATGCGACGATAATTTCCCTTCTCCGTCGGATGACTTCGGTCTTCTTTAGGGGGACTTGATGAATCGTTCCCTCTACAGCAACGGCCGGATCCAATATCGGATACTAAGCGCCAAACCTAAATCAAAAATCACTTTTGTGTCTACAATCTTAGCAACCATTTCATTTTTTCTTACCCATAAACAGGATTTAGCGCTATATATATAATCTGGATATTCTATCCGTCACTTTACACAAGGCCACTATAGAGATATAATTTTCAAACAAACTTTCACCAACTAATTATATACGAGACTTACAACTGAACTAAACCGCACTCGATGGCTGCCGAAAAGGGAAAGAAAGCCAGCAGCTCGTGGCTCTGGGCGGGAAGCTAAGTTAGCCCCCATAGAATAACTCTCCGTTTTCCGGGATCATGACAATTGACTCTGTTGCCTCTTCGTCTCCGAAAATTCTTACCCCAATCGCGGCACCCAACTGACCACTAGATGGCGACACTTTCGGTTTTTGCCTCATAGATGGCACTGCCCATCGATGTGCCTGCCACAAGCGTTACAAATTCCCCCCCTCACAAGATCAGACTTGGGGGTGACACACACAAGGCTGACCAAAACTGAGCTTGAGGCAGCTACCTTACTGTTTCATATCCTTAGCATGATATCTACCCATTAATCGTCCCTGCAAGTCTTCCAAATCATAGTAAGCATTTCCCACCTTCTGGCGTACCCTGGCCTTAAGATACCTCGGACCCAATTTAGCATTATAGCCTGCTTGGAAATTGCTTTGCCTGAAATTCTTTAGAAATACTTCTTGCCCAAGGTCATAGGAAACGTCCTTAGCCCGCAGATTATAAAGTCGCTCGTTTTTCTCATTTTGCTTTTTCATAACTTCGACAGCTCTATTCCGCACTAACTCTAAAGAATCTTCTCTAGAAAATAGCGCAGAACGATCATCCAGCAACCCCAAAGCTCTTAGCAGCTTGTATGTCGATCCGGAATTTATAAAATGCTGGCCAAATACCATATAATAGGGTGTCGTTCCCAGAGAAGAGTGTACCGCAGATCTTAATGCACAGCAAATGCTGCTCAGCTCTTCGTCCCAATTTTTCTGATCGGGCCTAACATACGACCGTATTGCGGCTATCACCGACCTGTTTACTCGCTCCGATGCATTTGCTTGTGGCGAATACACTGCCGTGAATGAATGCGTTACCCGGTGGTTCCGAAGAAATTTTTGAAACGCGTCTGATTTAAATTGTGACCCATTATCCGAAATAACCGTTTCTGGCACTCCAAACGTATGGAACAGATCAGCTTGCAGATATTTAATCACTACGTCCGCATTTAGTTTCTTAACTGCTTTTAAGAACACAAACTTCGAATAGTGGTCTAACACGATAAAAATACCTATGTTACCGCTTTTTGAACGTGGATATGGACCCAGGAAATCAACATATAACCTCTGAAAGAATCTTCCCGACTCTGGTGGTACCCCTAGCAGAGGTCTCTGAACTGTATTAGGAGCCTTAGTCATTTTACACGTATCGCAAGAAAGAACATGGGCCTTTACATCCTTTACCAGACCAGGCCAATAATAATATCTTCTAACACGCTCTAAAGTTTTATGTATCCCTCCGTGCGAAGCCATGGGATGATCATGAGCATTCTTTAAAACTTCCTGAACTAACCCCTTCGGGATCCATAACTTCCAAATAAACTCGTCGTGAAGTGAATCCCCTGTGGCGTAATCCATTTTCTTGTACGCCAAACCATCGGTAACCTTTATATCTGGCAACTTTTCGCTGTTCGCTTTTAGTCGGTCCACAAATTCCACATATTCTGGAGATTTAAATTCTGCCGATTCCAAATCCACTACCAATCCATGTCCAGCATCCAACGCAGCCATATTTTCCTCGTTTACTCGAGACAGCGCATCCGGAACAACATTTAACTTTCCGCTGCGATGCTCAATTTTAAAATTGAATCCCTGCAGTTTCAGAGCCCATCTAGCTAAACGAGAATGTAAATCCGTTTGAGTCATAAGCCATTTAAGGGACGCATGGTCAGTAATAACTGTGAACTCATGACCCTCGATATATGCCCGGAATCGTTTAATGCAGACTAGTGCGGCCAGGCACTCCTGTTCGCTAACTGAGTAGCATTTTTGTGTTTTATTTAATTTTTTTGACACAAACGCTATCGGATACTCATCACCCTCAGCTGTTTTCTGCACTAAAACTCCTCCGACACCAGTTTTACTAGCGTCGCACTGCACAAAAAATGGTTTATTGAAGTCTGGACTACGAAGAACTGGCGCCGAGCATAACATGTTTTTTAACTCTTCAAAGGCCTGTTTTCCTTCCGCCGTCATGGCAAATTTCTGCTTCGGCTTTAACAAATCTGTTAATGGGGAAGCCACAGATGCAAAATTCTTAATAAATTTCCGATACCAGCCTACCATTCCCAAAAATCTTCGCAGACTTTTCAATGAATTTGGTAGCGGAAAGTTTGTCATGGCTGAGATCTTATCGGGATCCGTTCTTATTACACCCTCTCCCACAATATGACCCAAATATCTGACGGATCGCATGCAGAACTTGCTCTTTTCGACGTTAAGAGTCAACCCAGCCGCCTTTATATGCCCCGCAACTATCTCCAATACCTTTAAATGCGACTCAAAACTATCTGAGACAACCAACAAGTCGTCCAGATAAACAAATACTTCGTTACGGAGTTCGGCAGGAATGACTTTGTCCATCAAGCGAGTCATAGTTTGTGAAGCGTTGGTCAGTCCGAACGGCATGACTTTATATTGATAAAGAGGCTTTCCAGGTATAGTAAACGCCGTCTTATCGCGAGATTGAGGATCGAGAGGCACTTGCCAGTAAGCATCTTTGAGGTCAAGGCTTGAAATATACATTGCTTTTGGGAGACGCCCTAAGATGCCATCTATTTGGGGAAGCGGGTACGCATCTTTTCTTGTTACTGCATTTACTTTTCTGCTGTCTAAGCAAAGGCGAACCTTCCCTGGTTTTTGAACCAGCACAACCGGTGACGACCAAGCACTATCCGACTCTTCAATTACACCCAGCTTCAGCATACGGTCTACTTCGGCATATAAAAGTTTTTCCACAGCCGGCGATACTGGAAAATGCCGCTGTTTTACTGGCCTAGCATCTCCAACATCAATCGAATGCGAGAGAATACTTGTCTTTCCCAACCCAGAAACGGAAAACGAGGGAAAGAAACTAACAACTTTTTGCAAATCTTCACTTTGTTTTGCCGTAAGACTATGGGTGTCAGACACAATTTCAGAGATCTGCATTTCTGTTGGCAATAAACCAAATTTAGTCCAAAAATCAATCCCTAAATATAAGTCTTGACTGAGAGTTGGAATTAGATGGAGATCCAATTCATTTTCCTGATTGTTGTACTTTACTACAGTTTTTATTCGACCAACGACTTCTTGCTTCGTTCCGTCGGCGGTGCATGCTGAAGTTGTTCCACGCTTAAAAGTAATTTTACTTCTTATTATTTGTTGAGCCAAGTTTCCGCCTATAACACTAATAGCTGCCCCTGTATCCAATAACCCCATAACAATACGATCCAAAAGACTCACTTCGGCATAGGGACGCTTATCCTTCTCCTTATACCTAATCGTATTTATTGTTTTCAAAGCTGCCCAATACCCTCTCATGCGCTGTGCATTTCTGGATTGAGACTTTTGATGTTTTAAACAACTATGTATTTTAGATGAATTTATTTGTAAATTTAATTTCTTCGACCAAAAAGATTTTTGAACAGACGTTGGTGCTGAAGATTTGGGATTTTCTATTTCTACAGAAGTATTTTCAATATCTATTGTTCTGCCTCGGAATTCGTCGGGCGGTGGCGTTGAACACACGGCTGCTGACGAGGCTGTGTGTTCCCCTTCGCGTTTTTTTGACACTTACTACACGAAGGTTTGTAAGTGTTCGGCTTTCCACAACCATAACAGAAAATCCTACGCTTCCCTTCACAATCTTGGTAACGATGCCCTTCTTTGTGGCAATTCCAACAAATCAAAGCCAAAGCTCCCACTTCCACTTCGCTTTCGATGTCGGAAAATTCGGCGGCTTCATCTGGCAACGGATCTTCAAGCAGTTCAGCAACTTGCTTCCGGTAAGGAGTTGCCTTTGTATATGCATAATTCCGCCTCACATCCTCCAGAAAACTTTCCCTTCGCCTACAAATTTCTCTCAATTGCCCCACCGAATTAATTTGGATATGAAGAAGTTCATGTCGTATTTCAGGGCGCAAATTTCTAGCTAGTATTTCTGCCACGGACTTTTCCGAGAGCGGCACTTCTAACCCATCCGTTAATGAGACAATGGCATCATGAAAAGTATCAAAATTTTCCTTCTCTTTTTGTTTTCTATCCCGAATTGCTTCACGGATATCGACATCGGAGCGGGTATCCCGAAATTGTTTTCGAAGAGCCTGGCAGAGAGCTTTCCAATCGAGCCCCTCTCCATTGCAGGATTTATGATATCGCCAATAGAAATCGCGAGCTTTACCATCAAACAATAGGCTAGCATTGCTAGCTAAAATTTCAAACTTTGAATTTAATGTTTGCTCTGTTAACGCCTCAACTCGATATATAAAATTGTCTACGCTTATGCCATCAAGACTGCCATTGAAACGAATTTTCCAACTATTTAATATTTGGCCCACCCTATCTGGTCTATAAATGGCATCGGATTCTACGCTGACAGGAGTAAATCTGGACTCACTCCGGAACTGATCAAAATTTTCGACTGGTTGTCTTTCTTGATCCGTCCAGTTGGTGTTTGTGCTTGGATTTGGGGGTGCTAAGGGATTCCCAGGAACCAATGCAGCAATATTAGCTTGTATAATCTGAGCCATTTGCTGAGAAAGTTGAGTGAGTAAATCATTTTTCATCCCCTGGACCGCTTGAGTCACTAAATTCCCTATGTCTACCTCAGCGCGATTTTCGCCGGTTTTCCCAGAGGGGGCTGGCGAATTGACAATCGTTTTACCACTCGGTGGGAGTTGAAAACAAATGATTCCGCAAATCGGACATTCTCTATGAGTCTTCGAATGACTAGTTATGCAAGTCTTATGGAAGTCATGACCGCATTTCGTTTTGTAAGTTGTGGAGATCGCCAAGTCTTTCTCGCACAATTTGCACTTAGACCCCGTTGGAGTCTCTACCTTATCGGCATCGCTCATTGTTTGGCCTTTTTTTTTTTTTGATCTTCAACCAATGAGAAAGATAAGAAACCTAAAATCCTAAAAATATATGTTTTTAATTTACAGCTAAATGAACGAGTAAGTTAAAGTTTCTAATTATATTCAGCTAAAATCCCTAACATTTAATCATTCCTTCCTTGCTTTTATTTTTTTCTTCACCTGCGGTCAATGACCTTAACAAGCGGACCAGCTGATTTGTTTTATTTTCTACGCTCAATTCTTAAAGACACTCAATTTCTAAAATCACTCAAGAGAATCTCGGGTCTAAGTAAGAAATGAGAGGAAAGGAACAAATAAATGAGAGAGTACCAGTATTAAGTAAGCTAAAAAAAATTGTAAGAAAAATCAAAAACACGATAGAAATATATAAACAGTTTGCCTTCAAACATAGGAGTTCTCCCTGCCAAACCCTTATCAGCAGTTTAACTCGGAATCCGTGAGTAAAAGAAGATGAAAAAAAAATAATATAATTGCTGCCTATGCAGAGCTATGTGGCTAGCCCTTCGACTATTGCCAAACTCAGATTCACTAAAACAACAACTATAAGAGAGCTGATCGGTTCTCTTCCAATTCTCTCTTGTTTTGCAATCTGGCCTACGTTTCCCGCTGTCAACCGTGGCCAGTCGACCTCTTTTTTAAAAGATTTCGGCTGTCTATCCAATGCACCTGACAGACGCGATGGCGATTGCATGAAATTTGATAGATGGATCCTCAGCGCCGGCCCATTATCCGTGGTCAGGTGAAAACTTATTGATAAGTTTACCACCTGCATGTCCAAGCGTCTAATTAACCCTTGCATTAGGTCCCGAAAAAAAAGTAAATAGAATAGATTTGCCCCACTCTTACTTTCAACATCAGCCGTGGCTAGTTGAACGCTTGCGTACAACATATTCAACTATATGTCCTATGCGCCTACTATCGAAATTAAGGTAAGACTAGAGACGAGATATTTGGCATGAGTACCGCAGCAACCGTGGCTGGGATGTAAACACATCTTTCAACCCACTGTGATACTGCATTACCAATTAGATGAAAATTAAAGTTTTTTTTTTTTTTGTGTGAGCGGGATTCTTAGAGTAAAATTTTGTTTTTCATTTTTTTTCACATCTAAAACCCTGATTTTTGGCCTACACTGTTGGGCGCCAGATAAATAGAATTATATTATTATTACTGTAACGAGTACGTGGCTAGGATGTTGTTGCATGACGATAAGGACGCACGCGCGATGGTCCAGCTGCTCCTTGTCGGCTATTTGGGGTGGTGATCTTGTCCTTCGTCACGAGCCAGTAAATTCTAAAATTTTATCGAATTTTCGCGTGCAGCGACAAGTGGTATGGGGTAGGAGAAATCATGTGAATCCGCGCCAGCACGAAGAGGGATAGTTATTTTACTCATGGAATTCCTAAAGTTCCTCGGGTGTTCTAATGGAACCAAATTTGCCCTCCCTGCCTTGGCCGTTCTTTACCGAAAACTTCCCATCATATTATCGAACGGCCCCTTCTACTGATTCGGGTTCTAGCGGGGACTCATCCTAGTCGAAGGCAAACAAAAATGCGATTTAGCTAATCATTATAAAATGTATTTAAAACCTAAATAAAATTCTTAAAATTAGAGAACATATTGAAAAGATATTAAATGAGAACATAAATACATGCAATACAATTGAATTATTAAATTAATCTTCGCAGTAAGATATAATACGAATTAAAACCAAAAAAATATTATTCGAGAGCGAGAATACGGAAATGGCAGAAAATTGCAGTGAAGAGCGCATGGCGAATTCAAATTGAGTGGTTTGTTTTACTTATTTCGAAATTCATCTCACTCAAAAATTTGAGAGACAAGAGAGACGGTAAATCCGCTCCTTTTTATTTTTTTTCTCCTTTATGGATTATTCGAACTGCTAAGTTTTGTACGGTGGGACGCAAAGTAATTCATTTGATATATATATTTTACAAAGACATATTAATAAAACGTGATATCTGACTCACCAACATTCCGGAGATCCACCGACGAAAGCGCTTCCGTAAGTGCACCTTAGGCTGAAAATTTAAATTTCTTTATATACACACTGCAAGCCCACTGTGCAAAACAACAGCAAAATTTTTCTCTTCTTTTTCTTGTTGCAGCTCTTTCCTTCTTTTTTTTTAACACATTGGCTTGTTTGTCCACCCAAAAAAAATTAAAATAAATTATGCCTAAAGCAATTCGTGCTTCTAGTCATTCATTATTAAAGCCTTTCTGGCCTTCTAACCATCACTGCACTTTTCTCTTCTTTCCCTTCTTTTTTTCTTACTTTTCCACTCTCACTGCTTATTTCACATAACCTAGACCGCAAAAAAAAAGAAAAGAAAAACTTATGAAATAGCTTATAAACTATCCACTTTCAGCGAACTCCGACCGATCTTTGGCTTTCCGAACTGCCTTACATTCCGTGCGGCGACTTAACAATTATTCCGCATTGTTGTTCGACGAGTTAAATTAAATTTTCGTCCGAGCGTGGACCGAAACGTCTAAACTAGATCAGCGCGCCGAAAAACTGCCTGTCAAACTGAGCTTCGCTAAGTTTCGCTCGCAGGCGGGAGATAACGAAGATGATGAAGAGGGAATATAAATATTATGTGTAATTTGGGCAGGTGTTACATCTCGAGTTCTTTTTGACTCTTTTGCCCTCTCTTAGTCCTAACTCCGCTCCCAGCGACTTAAGCTGATTAAATAATTATCTTAGGGAACTCTTAGGCCTTTGAGACCCATTTATGCGACGATAATTTCCCTTCTCCGTCGGATGACTTCGGTCTTCTTTAGGGGGACTTGATGAATCGTTCCCTCTACAGCAACGGCCGGATCCAATATCGGATACTAAGCGCCAAACCTAAATCAAAAATCACTTTTGTGTCTACAATCTTAGCAACCATTTCATTTTTTCTTACCCATAAACAGGATTTAGCGCTATATATATAATCTGGATATTCTATCCGTCACTTTACACAAGGCCACTATAGAGATATAATTTTCAAACAAACTTTCACCAACTAATTATATACGAGACTTACAACTGAACTAAACCGCACTCGATGGCTGCCGAAAAGGGAAAGAAAGCCAGCAGCTCGTGGCTCTGGGCGGGAAGCTAAGTTAGCCCCCATAGAATAACTCTCCGTTTTCCGGGATCATGACAATTGACTCTGTTGCCTCTTCGTCTCCGAAAATTCTTACCCCAATCGCGGCACCCAACTGACCACTAGATGGCGACACTTTCGGTTTTTGCCTCATAGATGGCACTGCCCATCGATGTGCCTGCCACAAGCGTTACAACAACAAGGGGCAAACTCAATCAGCTCTTGTGGGAAAATTTATACACTTTTATTTAAGACTTATTGACATTGTAGTAAACTGTATTAATTGTAGTTTTATACGTATTATGATAAAATAAGGTAATTATGTGGAATAATATCAAGATTTATGTCAGTAAATATGTGTTTAAAGTTTTAATATTAAAGTAACATTTTCGTCAAATTCTCCTGAATAAGATGACGACATGACGATGGCAAGCTACTTCCAAACAGCGGAAAATGTCAATAAACTTTTCGATTTGTGACACGTCGGAGTTGCTTCAATGTACGTGGATAAACGACCGTCTAACGCTGAGATTGACAAGGCTAACACCCCTACACGCCCTTAAATATAGACCCTCTACAGACTGGGCGTGGCATAATGGGCGTGTAATGGTAACAGTTTGTTTATAATTAGACAACAGTGACAGGCTATTAGAGTAAACTAGTTACTAGCTAAACTTCTTGATGAGGTTGCCTACTTTTGTGCGCTTTGCAGAGGGCCAGCGGGGCGGATACGTTATTTCGTCGCAAACAATGTTTCAAACTTATTTTTAAGCTATTATATTAACTGACTTCTCTGTATGAGTATAAAAAAATTAAAGTTTCAAAGGAAATAGTACAAAGTGGAAACTATCTAGGCTGTCCTTCAATTAGTATTATAGTATATTTTATGTGGAAATACATTTTTAATAAGTATAGTATAAGTAGAAGTTTTAAGGGAAATGTTGAATAATAGAAACTATCTAGAAAAGGGCTGTGTATCAATTATTTTGATACAAATAAATAGACCTATTAATATTTTTTTGAACAAATAACATCAGGGTTTTTTTTTTTCATTATTTAATAAACACATATTTATGATGTATCAATATTGTCGCACAATGGAACCTGGATTTTGGTGCACTTGCTGCGAGAAATGGGCTTTAGCGCTGGAAACAAAAATGTTTGAGCAGCATTTAGGCACAAAAACGATCGATACTTACCAGATAAGCTTTTCAACTTCCGATAACAGTTGATTGCTTTCAAAATACATGGATTGCGAACGGTGTAAAAGCATTTTCCGTCCCTGCTGGCACATCCGGGGTTTTGCTTAATGGGACAGGGCTTATCACAATGTTGCGCAGCCACACAAGCTTTTAATTGTGCATATATATCAACTCTCAAAATTAAAACAAATTTTTTTACCAAGTAAAACCAGCCAGAGAAGCTTCATCTGCTTTACTATGCGGAGTATACAATTTGACTAAGTTAAAACTGTGAAATTGGCATTAAAAAGGCCAGAAAAATAGTACAAAATATATAATGCACTTAAGCATGAAATTGTATTCAACTGTAGTTATTTATCACAATATGTTTATTTTCCTATTGAGTGGTTCAGATGGCTTAGAGAATGTCTCTTTCATAATTCATAGCAAACATTACGTTGCGACTACTACAAATCATGGCGAATAATAACATTTTTATGGCAACCATCTTTGCCAACAGCTCGTAAAACAAGAGCAACAGTCCGCAGTGCTTTGCTCTCATAATTTATTTTTTGCATACACACTCAGACTCACTGGCGAAACAAAGCCGGAACACAAGAATACATTTCTCGCAAACACACATAAACGAGCATTGAAGGGGAAAAATTCAATTTCAGAGGATATTTTTGGGGACCACACACTCCACTTTTTGCGAAAAAAGCAACACAGCAGTGAGAAAAAAAAAAAAGGAAAAACTTTACCCGTTCCGACAAACTTCAAATTAGATTGAAAGAGGAAAAATATAAATGAATGTGAGGAAATAATATTTCACGACATAGATCCGTGGCAATTTGACAACTATTTTGACAATATAAAAAGCGTTATATTTTTAGCAAAATAAAAAGGAAACAAAAGTTTGATTTATGGCGTTAAAATAAACACGTTAAACTAATATTGATTGACATTGGTTTTTTGGCTGTGTGTATGAATTGTGGTCATTTAATAGGTGGTTTGGTGTTTGTTTGACTTTTTTTAAGACCGATTATTGAATGTGAGTTTATAAACCAAACATATAAATATATTTTATTAATATAAATTTAATATTCGGGTATAAGCATTAACTGAATTAATTTCAGGAAATGTTTAATTTTGTGACCTAGTTTTTTAAAGTATTAATTATTAAAAGAAAATATATAAATGTTTATCAAAAACATTATTTATAAAGAACTAAAATAAAAGTAATATCTAAAGAAACTAATTTCAGGAAATGTATTAATTTTTGTTTATTACAGCAATGCTACATACCTTTTTTGAAAAAAGATTTAAATATTTAATAAAAAAAAGAATTCTAATTCAAAAGCTGACTTTTGTAAATCGAGTCACTTTTTTCTTTTTTAGGCCAGAGACAGCGCGTGAAACGTAATGAATAAATAAAGTTTGGCTGTAGTTCGCATCCGAGCAGTTAAAGATTTTTGCCTTTCCAACTCACATGGATATATGGATGTGTATGTAATATGTACAAAGGTGCGAGGGCTTGTGCGTTTGCATATTTTAAGCTGCTCCTTTGCACCTTTTACATTTTATATGCCATGCGGCGGGCGAATTTGAGTTTTGGCCGCTCGCTTTTTTCCTTTTCTGCGCCGACTTTTATTTCAGTTTCTGTTTCCGTTTATGTACACATTTGTAGCCTGGCCTGGCCAACATCACCTCACCTTCACCTTTCGAGTGCAGACTGGCACGAGAGGTCACAAGCATTCCCCATTTTCCCATTTCCCGCCCAATTTATAAATGCTGTATGTACATGTGTTTTCGCAAGGCTTTAACTTTCTGTACCGCAGTCCAAGCCCCCAAAAAGAGTAATATTCACTTTTTATGCTGAGCCCGGCGCTTCTCGCATGCGATTGCGGCCAAAAACCACTATACACTGTACACTTTTCGTACATTTTTCGAAACTTTTGCAGCCCCATGGTCAAGTTTCGGTTGGGCAAACAAAGAAAGTGCCATTTCTTTGCCAGTCCTGGCCGAATCGGAACTTTTGTGGCGTGTTTTTTGGTCCTCCACTCGTATTTGGGTTAATGGCAACACACACACACACACACATTTCTCGGCCAAATTCACAACACAATTCAAGGCATATTTCTGGTCTTTGATAAGCCAACGCTAATTTTAAGGGGAAAGCTTACAAATTCATGTTTGCATGTAAATTTGAATTATATCCGCTGGCAGTACACCAGCGACACACACTTTAATTAGTTTCAGTTAAATGCGTTTAACACGGTCAACAAATCAATTTCTGTTTTGCGGATTAGCTAAAGTACCTCTTATAGAGCTAATAAGCACGGGAATAAGAGATGCCACCATGGCGTTATTATTGAATGTATATTAATTCTTGTTTCAGGTTGATTTCTTAAAAAAATTGAGAATATTTTTCTTGAAAGTTTGTATAAAATCAAGCTGTAAATAAAATATATATTTAACTCCTTTGGGCATTGTATTCTAAAACATTTATTTTCCGTCGATAAATATAAATTATTTATTTTAAAATACATTTAAGCCATACAAATAACTAACCCAACCCAAGAAACATTTAAAAAACTTATTGGCTTAGGTATCTCTAATAGATCTAATAGAGAAATGGGAAGTTGGAAAACCATATTAATAAAATATGGAAAATTCTAATATCTGATATAAGTTTTGATAAGGAATGCAACTTTCATGAATACAAAAATAAAAATTGATTTCTTGAATTGAAATTGTGAATATTTTCTTTAAGAGGTGTATAAAACAAGCTGCAAAAATGTAATAATAGATTTAAAAAAGGAAAAGAAAATGTATTTTGCATAGATAAATACATATTATTCAAGGCCATATCGTAAATTAAAATATTTTTATTCAACACCTATTTCTAGTTGCGCATCTCTGTCAGTAAATGTTGATTTGATGGTTGTAAATCGAATTGAATAATTAAACAGTTTTGCGGGGGACGAAAACTGTTCATCGGCAATCGATCACATAATTGAGATGCGACTTTGATTGCATCCCACGCAGTGGGAAAATTACAAAATTACAGGGCCGGGCTTAAAATGCTGGCCTTTGGTCGAGTTGGTCAAGGGTGATTGTGATGAGAGGATAAGAGGGGTCAGAGGGCAATTGGCCTTAAACCGAGATGGCTGTGAATTGGGAGCAACTGTCGAGGTCATCACATTTGACCCGCACTGAAGCCAGGGCTTAATCTGCATCTGCCTCTGCCCTGACACAGTCGCATTCAAATGTCAATTAGTGTTGTTGCTGCTGTGGTTTCAATTTCAGCACGCCGTACTTCTATCTTTCCGGCTCTTTTGCTGCCCCATCCCCTGGGAATCCAAAGCCATCGAGGAACATTTGAAGGCCACATCCGGATCCTTGGCCAGCGGTCAATAAATCTGGGCCAGCACGAAAAGAAGAAAACCCCACAAACACAAAATTATGACCCCCCTCAAGTGTACTGAATAAGAAACAAATTTATGCATTATAACCACAAACTGCGAAGCTGTAAAATTAACATAATTCAAGTGCATTTTTATCGATTTATTTCGTTCAACTGCTTGTCCAATTTTGACATAATCACTTAAATCCATAATAAAAACATTTTCCAATTAAAAATTTCAATTGCACTCAACTTTACGGTTGCAGCAATCTGGATAGTCGTCGTCCCAGTTTAAGTACTCCGTGTAGCGACAATCCTCCGGCGGTTCTTTTTTATCACACCTTTATAAAAATAAGATATCGACTTTTGTTAACAAAAATCTATGATATATGATTTAATTATTTCAGAATAGCACAGAAACTGTTAGTGATTCGAAATGTTTACGGTCATAATTAGTTTCCTTTTTAAAGGATTATGGAAAAAACTGAGTTAATATGAATATTTAATATTGAGTTAATGAAGAGTGCTTTTATTTATTTATACTTAAATAATATAAAACAATTATTGAATATGTTTTGTAACAATAAGTTTTTTTTTTAAATGGTTACAAAATGAAATTTATTAGGAAAATTTAATTTAATTTTTTTTTTATTTTTAATAAACTTACTTTTCAAGAGAAAGCCTTTGCTTCTAATTTTTCAAAGGTAGTAACTAACTAACTTTTTGCGACATTGTTCTAACCATGATATCTGAAAAGTACTCACGTTAAGAGCATGCCATAACCATCACCAGTACAGAAAATCGTGGTACAGGGTAGGGATGTCAAACGAAATGCCTGTCCCATTTTGAGGAGCACCGTCGAAGAGCCAACATCAAGTACACAGCGGTTGGGATAAGCTGCGTTGGATTTTCTAGGGTTAACGACGCAATTTTAGAGTCCTTTAAAATAATACTCACCTGAATCGCCGTAGTTGTTGAGGGAAATATCAGCAGAGGCATGGCAAATAAACAAGCTGCCGATGAGTCCAAAGAGAATAAAAGTTTCCATTCTGTACAGTTTGTGATATGGAAAAATAAAACATCTGACTGAAGTATGATCGATTGGCCTGCCTAGTTGCAGAGCACTGTTCGAAGGCAGCAATCCGGATAGGGCAGATCCGTATTGATGTAGCCACCGTAGCGGCAAGGAGGCGACAGGATGCTCACTCCGCAGCTGCGCAAAAACAATTAGATTTGCATTTGTGTTTCCCAAAATATAAAACTCCAGTTAATTTACCTCTGGAACAGGGCCAGTCCGCTGTGTCCGCACACTATTCTGCGGCACTCGTGCGTGGGATCCTTGATGCTAACCCCCGAATTCAGGACGAGCGAAGGGCTGATGGTGCACTTACCGGGGTGTCCTGCGGGTGAAATGCGAAAGTGAAATTGAAATTGGAGCTGCCAGTTGCCAGCTGCCAACTGCGGTTGTCTTCACTCACTCGGATCGTTGTAGTTGCCTTCCCATTCGGCTGTGTGACCCGCTCTTAAAAGGACCCCTAAAAGCGCGACTGAGACTAAAAGATGAAACGCTTCCATGGGTTACACCCAATTTCAAATTTCACTTCGTTTCGGAGAGTAGTTTTTCAAAAGGATGTATTAAAAAAAGTTTTGTTTTCGTTTGACATCCGTTTCTAAAAGCATGTTATATTTTTTCTTAACAACAAAAATTTGGAAAAACTCAGTGATTTTGAGCCATAACCATTAAAATTTTATTTAAAAATCATTATTTTTTGATTTTATTAAAAGTATAGATTATATTCAATCAAAAAAAAATATTGACTATTTTATTTGAGTCAAAATAAAACCATCCTTTTGATTGTGATAATATTTTGTTTATAATATTTACATTACATACATTTTTTATTTTCGCTTTAAAACATGGAAAAATAGCAAGATTTTTATGTATTAAAAATTATTTAAGCCCAATTCCTTCACGGTGACTTTTAGATTCCAATTACAATTATTTTGATACATTTTTATATTTCAACAATTTTACAATACTATTCATCTTTTGAAGAAACAATTTTAAAGTCATAGGAAAGTGTGATCAACCTTAAACGTAATTGCATTTTAAGTTCATCTCACAGCATTCGGGAAAGTCAGCATTAATATTTTCGTAACCATCGTTTTCACAGCCTTTTGGAGGATTCTTTTCTTCACAACTGGGTATTGATAAAAGTTGAATTTTTAAAATGCAAGCAAATATATTTGATAAGTTTACTAAAAGACCAGGGCCCAACCATCTTTGCCGCAGTCAATTTGGGCGCATTTTGTTGGATGGCGGATGGATTGACCACTCTCGACGATCACCTCGCCCTTGGGACCCTCAATTACGCATTTATTGGGATGACCTGGGGAAAATTTATATTTTTTTATTTTAAAAATATTTAAAATAACTTAATAATGTGTTCGCATAAATATTTTTCTTTTTAAAAAAAGTGAAATAATAGAATTCGTTATCAATAGTAAAACTTACCATCAAGTATTTTTTTAATATTATTTATTTGTGCTTAAAATAGTTATTAATTACTCCAAGCAAGCTCTTATAAAATAACTTTAAACTGTTTTTTGTTTATATATTGTCAATATCCCTATAAAAATCATGTTCTATACCCCTTACCATTATCCGCAAATATTTCGTAATGAATGTTGGCTGCTAAAACGCCGCGAATGATTATAATTAGTGCCAGGAAAGTGAAAACTGTGGACTGCGGCATCCTGTTTGTGTTTTCGTCGCTTGTGTATTTCAGGAAATTTGACTAAAAGATTCGATTTTCTGAGCTGTCTGTGTGCGAAGTGGCAGCCAGGCCTGCCACGATGTTGTTTCCATATGCGCATTTTAATTAAAATGCAGGCAGACAGCTGGGGGATATGCTGATGAAGTTATCGAATATGTTAATGCACTTATTTGCAGCTGCATGCGCCTTGTGTCATTCGTTGATGTTGTTGCATAATTCGATTATAGGTGTCCCCTTCTGCAGGCCAATGTTAATGTTGGTTTATATGCCTGTATGTCTGTGTGTCTGTCCTCTGTAAATTGTGATTGTTGCTCCATATCCATCCCAATCCATTTAAATCAAGACCAAGACAAATTTGTGGGGCACCTAATTGATGTCGTTGTGTCCTATACACTCACATACTATTCACTATTGAGCCAAGTAAATGCGATTCTAGATGGGTGTGTTGTTTTGATTACCTCTGGCTGGCTGGCTGGCTGGCCAATTAGCAGAAGCGACCACCATTGTTCGCCAGTTGAAATTAATTGAAACGAGTGGCCTCAGCTGGGCCTGAAATATGCACTTCAATGAACTCATCTCGACCCCAGTGGATGGCTAATTAACCGACCCACTCGAAGCTCAAATAAACACAGCAGAGTGTGTAGCGAAGGACTGGCCTGGACCTGGTCCTGGACCGCCTTAAATCAAGTGAAAATAAAATGTTGAACACGTTCGATGTTCAGTAGATATTGGGCGATGAAGTGGCTATTTTAGACGGGCACTTTTTTGGTTTGTCAACCAAAGACACAGCTTGAAAGTTAGACATTGTCTAATTTAAGCTACAATTTAACCCTTATTTTTGTTTTTTAAATAAAATTAAGCAGCTAAAAGTATGCAGAGTATATTTTTGCAACTATTGAAATACAAGTTCTTAAACTGAAATTTTTTGAAATAGCAAACTTATATATTTACCTGTAGGTGCGGTTCGATTGATAATCTAGATAGATTTAAGCTTGGAAGACGACAGTCAGCAAATGACAAATCTTACAAATTAAAAACAAAAATTTAAAGTTTTGGACATTCTAAAAGACTAAGGTCTTTTCATTATCGTTATCCGTTTTTCATTATCGATTGTTCCAATTGATAAAATTGATTGTAACTTCGCATATCTGCTTGCTACTATCAGTAAAATTAGGGTTCGTTGCCTTCTTGCTGCCATTCCCAAGATTATTCAAAGAACAGGGAGCGTATACTTTATTGCCTGAATTGCCTGATTAATATTAATTGCTAGCTCAGCCAAATTTGTTATATAAACGTAAAAGTGAAAAATGTGCCGTAAAGATGAAAGTCCTCCCGTTTATTAATTTGTGCCGGAAGATAATAAACATGAATCAACTTATCTTATCGCCTGACAATCATTGTCGATTTTAGTCGCTGAAATTCTATAAAAAGCCGGATTTCAATAAAAGTCTAACAGTCTTGTTAAAATGTTTCTGAAGTTTACCCTACTCGGCGCCTTTTTGGGAGTAATTTCCCTGTCTGCGAGCTACAAAATAACACCGAATGTTATAGATGGTAAGCATTGAAGCTTGTGATTACCAAGTGTGCTCATTGATATTTTTTGTATATTTAATTAGGAGTTCCTGGTTTCCTAAACATAACAACTGCTCCTTTTGTGAAGATCGGATCAGGCTATTACATTTTTGAAAGTAAAGCCGTTAATTGGTATTCAGCCTTTGAATCTTGTCGACAAATGGAAGCAGACTTAATAGCATTTGAAAGCCCAGAGGAGTTGAATTTGATATCTGAGTATATCACCGAAGTCAGTAAAGTAGTATCCTATTGGACATCCGGCACGGACTTGACTGAGCAGGGTAAACATATATGGTTTTCGAATGGACAACCCGTGTCTTCGGATTTGTGGTTGCCGGGAGAGCCAAGTAACTCTGGAAATGTGGAGCGCTGCGTTGAATTCGGAATCCGTTCGAAAGTTACGGGATTAAATGACAGAAATTGTATCAGACTTAATGGATATATTTGCAAGGCGCCCCAGCCAAAAACAGCTTCTTTTGTAATCTGGTAGATTAGTTTTATTGAATACTACGGACAATAAAGCACATTGATACAAAGAAGACTTTGAGGAATTGAAACTTATAAGTGAATATCTAACAGAACAACCAACTACGAATGGCCATACTCTATATTGGACTGATTTGGCGGAGCAGGATAAACATGTGTGGTTTTCAAATGGACAACTCATATTTTCGGATCTGTTTTCTCCGGGAGAACCGAATGACGTCAGTAAAGTGGAGCATTGTGATGTTATCAGGATGGGAAAGGTGTAATTCTTGGGCTGAATGACGTTAATTGCATTAATAAATATAACTATATTTGCAAAGCACTACAGCCACAGACTGTTTCCTTCATAATTTGGTAGAGAAGAATATGACAACTTCATTGCATGCTTACTAGTTGTGTCCAATAAAAAAAATAATGCGATTCAGTGAATATATTTTTCAATATTGCTTCCAAGCTCTTAGAATTCATTTCCTTATTTCTACGAATAAAGAAAAAGTGAGCATTTCTATTTTATTGGTACCTCCGTATCGAATTTCAACTGATATGAAGGCACCATGGATTTTTATTAAGTACTGAGTCAGATATTTGGAAGCTAAATTTAATTTTACTAATTTGTGTTGGCAGAAAAGAGGCAGGAATAACATATCTTATCGCTTATAAGTGTTTTGTCGCGTTTTTATCGCTGGAATCTTATAAAAAGCCAGTTTCAACAATAAGTCCAACAGTCTTGCCAAAATGTTTCTAAAGCTTACTGGACTCTGTGCTTTTTTGGGAATACTTTCCATTTCCTTTGCCCACAAAATAACACCGAATGTTTTTGAAGGTGAGACTTAAACTACTTGTGTTCTTGCTATAAATAAAAATATTTTATTTAGGTGTTCCTGACATTCTAAATATAACTACAGTTCCATTCAGGAAGATTGGATCAAGTTACTATAATATTGCAAGTAAAACTGTTAGTTGGTATACTGCCTTTGCATCTTGTCGACAAATGAGAGCAGACTTGATTGCTTTTGAAAGCTTAGAGGAGTTGAACCTGATATCTCAGTACCTAATAGACGAAAATATAGTAATTAAATCCTATTGGACTTCTGGTACTAACTTGGCGGAACAGGATAATCACGTTTGGTTTTCGAATGGACAAGCTGTGTCTTCTGATTTATGGATTTCTGGAGGGCCGATTAATGAAAACAAAGTGGAGCAGTGCGATGAGTTAATTATTGAACCTGGACGTAGAGTGGGTCTGAATGACAAGAAGTGCTCTTACCTCACGTCTTTTATTTGCAAAGTGCGCCAGCCAAAGACAGCTTCATTTTTAATATTGTAGATTTTAAAAAGAATTAAATTATAATTATAAATTCTAGGAGTTCCGTGGTAAGCACATAATTCCCATTGGAATTTCCCCAGATTATCATTTATGACTTTGAATAATAAAACTACTTTGACTGTTTTCTAAGAAAAGTTAATTAAAAAAAAACTTGGCCTAATTGCTTAGTTTGCTTGCTGTTTTTTATTATTTTTATCGGTTGCTTGTTTATAAGATTGCGATTGTTATCGCTTTTAGAAAATTAATTTGATTTGAATATGCGGCTAGACACGTTGTGCATTCCAGAAAAGTGATCTAAGCCTTCAAGTTAGAAATGATTAAATTAAAGGTTCCCTGACCTAGCTTTTTATATATTGTGTTTTACTTATTTGCATCGGTAGTTAAAAGGTTGGAATAACTTATCTTATCGATTGAGAATTCTTGGAAGTGTTTTCATCGCTAGAAACCTATAAAACAGCCGAGTTAAACAATAATTCCTACAGTCTTGCCATAATGTTTCTTAAGTTTACTGGACTCTGCGCTATTTGGGGAATGATTGCCCTTTCTGCGGCCTACGAAATAACACCGAATGTGATTGATGGTGAATTGAAAACGTGTGTCTATCCAAAAATCTCCGTCACTTAATTAACTTTGTATTCCAATAAGGTGTTCCTGGTTTCCTCAATATAACCACTGCTCCTTTCGTCAAGATCGGAGCAGGCTATTATTTTGTTGAAAGTGCCAATAAAAAAAACTGGTTTGATGCCTACGAATCTTGTCGAAGAATGGAAGCAGACTTAATAACGTTTGACAGCTTAGTGGAAATGAATCAGATTACAGAGTACCTGATAGACACGATTGTTGCTCAAAATCTATCGCTTTTCTGGTCTTCCGGTACTGACTTTGCAGAGCAGGATAAACATGTGTGGTTTTCGAATGGACAACTCATATCTTCGGAACTTTGGCTGCCCGGAGAGCCAAATAATCTTCACAATGAAGAGCACTGCGATAATTTAAAGATCAATAACGGATTGGGAGGACTGAATGATGACCGCTGCGAGGAACTTCACTACTCCATTTGCGAGGCACCACAGCCAAAGACAGCTTCCTTTATTATTTGGTAGTTTATAAAAAATGTATAGTAATTGAAAAATATTTTTTTCAATATTTTAAACACATCGAAACCTATATTAAATCTGGCTTTATATGGACTGGTCGACAATTAATTGGAATTCTAACAATTGTTGCCAACAATAATATATTTTGTTTCCGTGAAAAAAGCAATACATCTTGAAATAAACTGAGAGCAATTGGAATGAAGCCGTGTTTGGTAATATATAAACCAGTTTTTAGATTCGCTAAAAATTCAATAAATAAATTAATACATTTTTTCTGAAGTTTTTTCCAAAACTACATGTCATCAACTAAAGTTCCAAAAATAGTTGACACCAATTAAAATGTTTTGATTAAGTCTTCCAAAAAATCAAGACCAAAAATATTTATATAAATATTATATTATACTATATTTTTTTACTGTTCTCTTCAATACTTTTTCATACCATTCCCAAACACCTGGGCCAACGAATTCCTGTTTCCGCTTTTGGCATAAATAAAGGCCAATATAAATTTCGATCGATGGAGCAATAGAGCTATCTACACACGCATATCTATGGGGTATTTGCATATATAAGGAATCAACACGTATATGCGGCATAAATAACAAATTGGCCAGGTGAACGCATTTTGGGGAGTGAGTGTGGAATTGGGTTCGATGGAGGTGTCCAAATAAGGGTCAAATGCCGGTCAACTTTTGCCCTGGCATCCTCTATTTTTTTGTGAGCTCTCGAAGGTGACCAACCGTTGAAGTTTTTTTTGTGGGTGTCCTAAGGCCTAAAACACAGAGATTGGGCTCGGCCTTCAGAGTTCTGTCTGAATTTTCGTTCTTTTATTTTATGGTCGCACATAAAAACACACGTCATTATAATTTCAATGATATTAAAGTCCATATCGGAGTGAATGAGATACAAGCGAAATGCTTTATTTTATTGCTCTACTTTTTCGACTTTTGACACACTGATAAAAAAGGGATAACTAAGAGAAAATATGTGGCTATTGAATACCATATTAACAATTTCATATTTAAAATAATAAGTCATAATATGATATTCATGGCATATGGAATTAAAATAAATGAATAAACGTGGAAACGTGGAAAAAATTAAAATTTTCATTTTAAAAATAAATAACTTAAAACCCTATTAGATGAAAATCAAAGCGAAAAATATTTAAAATGAGTTTGAAATATTGGCTTATACTACGATTTTTTTTTTACTAGTGCAAGAAATAAATTTTTTGGAGCTTTTAATTTTTGTGACGCCTGTGCTGGCTGTGACCCCAGGTGCTCACCTACTCACCTGTTCACCTGTTCAGCAGCTCACCTGAGCACACACTCGCACACACAAATTGCTTCCTGTCCCAGTCTCCCAGTGAAATTTGTCTGCGTTAAAAGGCCAACGGCCATGTGTTTTATTCGGCATTTATTTACGTTCAGGCAGGCAGCGAAAGCCAAAAAAAAAAAAGGGCGAGAAATATGTATATAGTATATGCGATACAAGGAATGCTTTTAAGCAAAGTCACTCATCCAAACACACATATATTTTTACGGCTGCATACATATCTTTGCGTATCTGTAATTCTAGCTTTCCACTTATTTATAGTTGAGGAAACAGATATGACTGAACCGTGGGCATGTGTAGTTTTAAGGTCAGACGCATGTTTTATACTTTTAAAAGATTCCTTTTAGCTTTCATTTGAAGTAAAATAATTTTACTCTACACATTACCCAAACGAAAAGTATAAAAGAAAATTTTTAAGCAATTTTAATTTAAACTTAATAAATTTGGCCTACTTTGCAAAATAATACATACCAAGCAGCTATATTTGAGTTCCAGATTTTCTCAATTAATTTAAATTGAAAACGCATTTTCATTCATATTAAGTATACGCACAGTTTTCCCAGTTCAATTCCGAATAATACATTGTATCAATAAATGTGGCCGGTTTTACACTCTGTTACCCATTTTATATATATAATTGCATTGCAAAAATGAAATATTCAATAGCCTTACGCTTCACTGAATAGTTCAAGACCCAAAAATAAACTGACGAAAAACAATGAAAATTTTCATAAACACACACGCACACTGAGTGAATAAAGTGCAATAAAACAACAAAATTCGTATCGAGAGATTTATGCTGGAGAACAACATAATCTTGTTTTATTTAACTTTGTTCATTTTTACTACATATTGCTCTCGATATTTCTATTTTATATTTACTTTTGGATGTAAAATCAAGAGTTGTTAAAAAGAAGGGAATTCAATTTAGTAAAAAATATAAATTAATACTTATATATATAAAGATGTGTCTACATTTATTCTAACCAAAATGTTAATAATTTAATATAGTTTTATGGAACATTTAATAGTTTTAATATTAATAGTCTTTAATAGTTTTACCGAAAGCAAAAACCACTGCCAACAACCTTGAAAAACCTAAAATTGAGTCAATTGTTGCTTTTGCCAGTGGCTTACCAGTTTGTTTATTTATTTGATCTCCTTGTTATTGTTGCTGCAATTGCTTTTGACAGCACCACAGTGAGTTATTAAAATTTGCTTTTGCAATTGCATTCTATAAACCGCTTAGCCTTTGTTTCACTTCGAGCAACGAAATACTCTCGAAAATAGATTTCTGTTTTGTGTCCGAAAAATGCAAGTGCAACAGCTGAGAAAAATCCAATTATAAACAATTTGAGTGCTGTGAAAAGGGAGAATGGAAATGCACTTTTCTGCTATAAATAATTATGCGTTTGGAGATGAAATTTTTGGAAACAAAAATATATTAGGTCAAGATACTATGAATGAAAATTATTTTAATAAAGTCTAATGTTTTTGTCTAATTCACACAAATAATATTTTTGAAATCTCTTTTTAATTACAGGTTAGTTGCATTTGTGGATAAGTTAGCTTCTAAAATTTCGTTACCAACGGGCAAGTAAATATTTATTTAACAAATTAATTGTTAAGTGAAGGGAGATAAGTACATTAAGACAACGATTTCCCAAGTGGCCCAGTTTTCCATTTAACTAATGTACGAAAAACTAATTTAAATTCAAACCTTTTTATCTCTTTTGTTGTCACTAATTTTATGTATTCCGCAAAAATGATGACCTTCTCTACCCTTTATAATTGTCTTAGGGAATTATTATCAGGGATCAAAGCGATATCAAAACGTTGTAAGTCGAAGAATAATGGACTTGTGGCTACACCGAGCAGTTCGGATTAACCCAGTCCCGGGAATTTATCCTTGGCATTTAACAATGCTTGACTTGCCCTGCCACTCTCTTGGTTTTACTGCTGTTTTTGTTACCTTTGCTGTTGGTGCTGCTGTTGCTGGAAACCGCGAAACTGCGCTTGTTGAATTATTTAAGGCACACAAGTGCGCACCACCCAAAGCCACCCACTTTCACCCACCCAAACAGCCAGTACAAGGATAATGCCAAGCAGATAAAAGTGGCCGCAATGTAGCATACATTAAGGCGTCGCCGCCACTGAAGTCCTCTTTGGCAGCGGCAGCTTGATTATGTCTCGGCACTCGAGTCTCGACCCCAGTCACTCCACACAAAAAAGAAATTAATTAATTTTTAAGCGTAATTAAATGCAAAGCAGCACTCGGTGGCGCCCGCGCAGCCTTACTCTTCCATCCCGCCAGGCTACACTGAAAATAGTTGGTATACATAATATCCAATTGTTTGTGAATCTAAAAATTTTACATTTTCTCTTTTGCTACTAAGAAAATTAAAAAAATCTTGGTTTGAATGGCTTCTTTCTAAACCAACAAATAAACTAAACAAAATCAAATGAAATATATAATATATATTTATTTTTTAAAGCTCATTGTCAAAGAGGAATTATTAGACAAAAATACGAAATCAGTATGAAAATTAAAAAAAAAATTATATGATCGAAATTCTTTCTACTTACACATGCATAAAAATAATAGTTTTTTTTAGAGGAATAATTTAAATTCATATCTAAGAAAAGTAATCAAAATTATTAAATTATTATTATAAATAAAGTATAATTATTGTTATAGACTACAGAAGAGCGATAACCTTGAGCTTTTTTACCAACAAAATTTGTGACAAGTGCAGGTCGACTTTTTTTGTTTTGTTGTTTTGCTGGCCATGAAGGCGCAAGGCTAACAAGTGGGTGGGCGAAGGACGCGTAATAATTTTTGGGCCTCGAACAGTTCTCGAAGGAAGTGATTTCTTTGAAATGAATATCGAGCCTCCCTCGCCGAACATTTTTCCTTCACGCAATTAAAAATTTCACTCACTCGAAGTCCTCCGAAAAAAAGGTTATCCACTCGAGCGCAGTTAATGGGCTTCGAGTTCGGTTTCAGTGGGATTTTATTTTCTTTTTTTCTTTTCTTTTTGCTTGTTGTGGCCCTGCGAATGATTGGTAAAAGACAGAGAGCCCCAAGGTGGCTGAAACTTTGGAACTTTGTCTGCCATTGACTTTTGCATGTGGGCTGTCCAATCAACGCCCTCGAAAAAAAACACCAGGAGAAACGCAGTCAGGAGGTCAGCAGAAAATCCAATACGAGACCCCTGAGAAACCCAAGCAGCTTGCCAGCTTCTGATTCTGATTCACATTCAATTTTGATGGCTCGTTTCGCTCAGTTTTCGCCGCCTTTGGTCAATTTCACTTTTATGTGTGTAGTCATCAGCTAAATGCCTTCCCAATATATATAGTATATACCAATCTGGCCTGTTTGTTTGGCATGTATGTACATATGTATTTATATAGACAACGTGCTCGTGCCGATTTGTTGGTTATTTTTAGGCGCCTGCACACACAAAAAACCAAAAAAAAAATACAACAACAAAACCAAATTCAAACAATGCGAAACGAAACAATTACTCGCCATAGGCTCTCTAAAACTGTAAGTAGTTTCTTAATGGACCTAAAATGTTTTAGTTATGAATGCTCAAGAATTCAAAACTTGCCCATTCAGAACATATCATAAATATTATAATAAATATATGGTTACAAGCAGCTGAAAAAGACTGAAATATATATTTCACTTTAATTTTTGGAAGATTCTTTTAAGTTCTCTTAAAATTTGTTTTGCATCTCATTAAGCAATAATATCCCATTAATATTTGCAATCTTTGAATGAATTTCAAAAGCTGCACATGAGTTAAAACCACTGAAAAATATTTATATAATGGCTTTTTTATTGGTGGCTATGG